CCCGGCCTCAGTTCGATTTTCAATCGGGCCACCGTTCATGTTTCGTATCTTTGCCATTTTATGCATTCATCGCATTTCATGTGTGTATTTTATATGCACACTTGAGTACAGCTCTATACTAGGTATACTCTAGACATGCTTTTCATTTATATTAAAACATTTTTTCTTGCTATTTTCTTTATATAGTTGTTTTTTTTATTATTTCCCTTCTCTGTTGCTTTTGCTATAACTATTCTCACCCGCGCCGACATCACATCTCGAGAAAATGTTCACTTCAGTTGCAAGCGATTTAACGGCTTCCAGCAATATGAAGATATGTTTCATGTTCGGTCCGAAAGCAAAACAAGTAAATCGAAAACGGAACAAATAGTGGCAATGCAAATTCCTTTTGCATATGTTTTGTGTTTTTCTGGCACTTGGTGCATATGCATTTCTCTCTCTCTCTCTCTCTCTCTTTTCGTATTCTGTTGTTGCCACGCATTCACCACACTGTTGTGGCCAAAGAATACTTTACATAACTCTTGATAGTTAAAATTGTTGTCGCATAGTTTTTGCATAATTTGAATAAGATGCATTTTGCACATAACTGACGCTCTGGCATGGGTGTGTGCGAATAAAATACGAAAAGTTGATAAAGCCAGCATCATAACGAATATTTTATCGTTTTGCATTGTTGTCGATCATCAACTTCGCAACACATTGTCTTTACAATATATCATTGTAGACATGTACACAAAAAGTAAAATGTTAGCGTCAGCAAAAAAATAAAATAAACGTTTAACCCGCAAACAAAAGGCAAAGAATATAAAGTAATCATTCAGTCTGTAGTCTGTATCAATATAAATTACATTGATTGAAATTTTTGTGTATTTTAAACTTAACTCGTTATTTAACAGAAAAAAATACAATAATCACATATGAGTGCAAACCATGCCGTTTGTTGAACGTAAAACGTGAAATGCTCATATTGCAATTCCGCTTAAAATTGAAAAACAACCAAAAATCAACACACATAGCCAGACAGAGAGAATCCAGAAGAAAAAAAAACGAAATTCGTTAATGTCAGTTTGCTTGCGATTATTTACACATATATACGATGGTGCAGCGTTTTTCATTTAAACACAATTTGTCATCATTTAATACATATTGTTTGAACATATCGCACGAATAGAACTAATAATGATAAGAGAATTACAATTGTTGTCTGTTTCTCTCATTTCACTGTCATCTGTCACGCCGCAATCGTCGTCATCATTGTTGTCGCCGCTGTTGGTGTGCTAGCTACTATTACTTTTGTTGTTCTATGCGTACATGTGTTTGTTGCGTGTATATGTAAGCATGTTTCATGCATGTGGTTTTGCCTCAATCGATATGTTTATATGACTTATCGTAAATTAAAATATGTGCAATAAGCGCGGAAAAATAGACACGATGACAAAACTAACTATCAAGTAAAATTAATTTTCAGAGCGTAAAATACTGTTGTTTTGATCACATTTGAGTTCATGGTCTTTGTAACAAGATTCGGTACTACAGTCTCTTGCTACATAATTTCATTATCTTTTATTATGTAATATTCTGTTTGAATCAGCATGCAACAAAAATGGTTTATAGTCAATAATTTGTTCTTCAATGGTCGTTCAGTTATCTTAGAATGGAATTTCCTTCGCATTCTTAATGCATCGTTTCTTCAACATATTACCTTTGACCATCATTTTAACAACAAATGAGTAATAAAATTTATTTGCTTTAGCAACGTTTCAGTTAAATTCTCTGTGGCAATAATAAGAATGAGCGAAAAATATCATTCTTTTCGTGAAAAATTCTAGATAGAAATGCTATGAATGTCATTAAATGATATTTCTGTATCAACCGACATTTATTGATTTTATTTTTACATCGGCATAGAAATAGAATCAGGAACCGAGTACCAAAATAATCATGGAATCATAAGAACAAAAACGATGTCACTTGTTTAGTTCATTTTGTCTAATTCTCTGTGTCATGTAAATCGAACGAGCAAAAACAATTCGAACACAATGCCATTTGTTTTAATGACACTTTTCAGGTTTTTTTTTCTCTTTCGTTATTTCGAGAGTACACGTGTCATCTGAAATGTTTTCACGCATTTTAAAGTCACCTATCATTTGTATCCCAACCGAGCTATAGCGAGAAGAGAAAGAAAAACTGTAATAATGACATTATTTCGCCGAACTAACAGAACACAAAAGAGCTCTACGAAAAACTTAATTTCCGCAAATGTGTATTTGATTAGCGCTCATATAAAACACACTTGCGTCCCGATCAGTGTATACATATAACCATCCGTCGAGAAAAAAACTTGTAATTATCATTTATAAATCAACATTGACAATAAATATTTTCTGAAGTTAAATGAGATTGTTTTTTTTTTTTTGAAATGCGAAGAGCAAAAAATCTTAGATGAAGCGATGCAAAACAAAACAAAAAATAACGAACAAAATAAACAAAGAACTTGTTCATGGGCACGTCGTTCGACCGAGCTAAACAATTAAGCACGTAATTTTACAATTTTTACATAACGAACAACAAGAGATATACCGAATGAAACACTCACACAAAAAAAAGTTGGTTTCTATTTTTAATTGTTCAACGCGAACGCGCTTCCATTCATTCACACATATATATATATTTTTGTCAATGCGTTTCACAGATGTTTCGGGGCGAAAAAAAAATTACGCGGAAAACCGCATTCAATACATGGCACACACGCAAACGTACACACTCAATCAATGGATATGTCAATATCAATATCGACCTTTGGCTGTAAAGAAATTAATAGGTGTCAAAATGATTCGGTTTGGCATTTCGATGTGCGAAATGATGCCCATACACTTAGAAATTGAGAGCTATTGAGCATTACGCCAACAATGGATGTTAATGCGATCTGTGTAATATAATGGCATCGTATCAGTGCGATGTATGTGAGTATACAGACCATTTTCGCGACCTTATATCTCTTTCACTCGATTTATGGAACTCTAGTTTTGGTATTTTTTTATTTTTTTAATCTCACGGCTCACTATCAATGTATAGACGCGATTTTAAAATATTTGGACGCAAACACAATAAAAAAAACACACACACTATATATATGTCACAAGATGGATTCGGTAATGAAATTACACCACGTGAAAATCGGCATAGGTCTACCAATGTGTAAATTCAACAAATGATTTATTTTCCGTATCTTCTTTAAAATTGTCTTCTTGTTTGATATCATTCCAAAGATAAAATGAAAAGCGGGTAAAATACAAAAGGATCAATTCAACTGAGACGAATTCATTGCTTCTAAATCCATATCGATTCACAAGCTTTTCAAACTTTGTCAATTTTTCCACCTTCGATTTTGCTTTGGCAAAGTTTTCTTTTCAAAGGTCGAAAAATGGAATAAAAAATCACAATATATGCTATCATTATAGAATGAATCGAAATACATCGAAACGTTGGTTGTGCCACAGATACTCTCGAGATCGCTTCCAAAGTCATGAACATTTACAAAGAAAATGATGTGAGTGCGGTAGAGAGCTCTCGCTTTTGTGTGTCTATCTCTTTCTGTATTTAAGCGAATGAACGAGATTTTAAAACCTTTCGCTTTTTGAATTGATTCAAAAGAGTTAAAATGAACAAATAAAAGAAAAACTCACAATACAGTAACAATAATAACGAACAGATATGTGCTGAAGATTCATTTTATACAAACAATTTGTGTATATTGTATGTATTCGAAAAATAGAAGCAGATGAAATGGAATGTGTATGGAAAAGACTCTCAGCATTTTGGTAAATGTGTCAGCGAAAAACGACAAATCATGAGACCAAAAATAAATAAAGCGCTTATTTTCTTAGAGTAACTTTTTCCAACGAATTTTCTGAAACATTTTAACGTCTGCCACGATATGGGGTGGTAAAACGGAGCCATGTCGTTTATATGGCACAGCATGCCACACCATATAGAAGGATTGCCTCACCTTTACATGTGGTAAGGACCAAAACATTTTATAAATGAATATGAAATGAGCGTACGCCAGTCACACAGACACACACACACACACCAACCGCAATCAGACTCATACATCGCAAAGAAATATTTATTTGACAGATGAAAATAAAAGCTGACATTTCTCTCTCTTTCTCTCTTCATCAAGTGTACTGTGTGTAAGTGTACTGTGTGTAAGTGTGCCCGCCATAATTTATCAAATTCAATGTCCGAAATAAACGTTGAATTTGGATATTTTTTCTTTCGTCAACTGCATTGAAATTGCGTATGTGGCACATTCTCTATTTTAATTTATTGCTGATGTGAGATGCTTAAATGCAACAAATCTACATCTGAGCTTTTATGTAACATGAATACGTAAATTTCTCGTGAAATGCGATCCTCGATGCTGAATACAATACGATGTACACACAAAAATGCACTTAGACGGCGTGTTCTAACTGATTAAGTAGGTACTTAATAGACAATTTTGGTGCTAAAAAACGAGAACGATGTTCGAGTGTTCTAAACAAAAAAAAAGTGTGGGGCGTGCGAACATGACGATAAAATTCCACTTCATCTCAATTCCGTGTTCAATGATCGCTAATAAAAAAATGAAGAGAAAATGTGGTATATAATGTGCTGTCAACACATTTCGTACGCTTAATGCCAAATTGGCCAAAACAAAGCGACAATCGAACCATTTAAACAAAATCTTTGCATTAACGAACAACAAGAAAACGACACACACACACACACACAAATTAAAAACGAGTTGAAATCATCGTCTCGTGTTTGTTTCAAGGAAGGAGATGAAGAAGATGAAATACAATTGAATCACGTTTAAAATGACATAACATTTTATCCTGTTTTTTTTATGAATGCACTCTTGTTTTCCATTGTCACATTTAATAATGTCGCTTAAAAGCTAAAGAACAAAAAAAATAAACATACATGAGAGGAGGAAAAAAACGATTCATTACCTTCATTCATGCGATTTGCATCTGTAATACAGCTTGCTTTTGTTTCTTGCGCCAGCAAACAACAATGTAACGACACAATATTACAACACGTTGATTTTTATTGCTTTTATTGATGATGAGTGTGCGCCAATTTCGTTTTGTTTATTTATTTTTGATTTTCTTCTGCTTCTTCTAAGTTTTGTTTTTTTCTTTTCTCTTCTTTTTTCTTTCTAGTTTTTTGAATTGTGGTGTTTTTGCTGAAGAAGCGGAGGACAAAAAAAAGTTCGTTTTTATTTCACTTGTTTTTATTTTCACCGACCAATGTTTTAAACTCACTATACGTGCTTTGTTTATATTTTAATAATAAGCACATAAAAATTGTACAATTTTTTCATGTTTTATTTTTCTGTCTCAAAAATGATGAATTTTTTTTCGATTGTTTCTGTTATTTCTTTTCGTCTTCCTATTTTCCGTTGTAATTCGATTCGTTGAAAATGATTATTTTAATTTTACTGATTCACGGAAAAGAGAAAAATATTTGTAGAACGTAAAATGAAACTGTTAAAAAAGGTGATTTTTTTTAATGCAAAAATCGATTTGGCATAGCGTCACCAAGTTCATTTTTTTTGTATCATTATCTCGCTCTACCAATGTTTAAATCAATTCGTGTGTAAGAAGGGTTGAGATACGGAGAAACAAAAAATGTTTGCTATTAGATTGAAATCGGGATATAGCGAACAGTGGAATTGCATTGTGCAAAATTTGAATGTGGAAATCATTTTTATTGGAGCCAACTCATGGATATACAAAAGCGACAATTATACCATAGCTATTTAAACGTTTCTCTCTCTCTCTCTCTCTCTCTTCTATCTCTTTTTCACTAAACACACTATCGCTCTCGCTTTCTTTATCTACTTCTCTTTCGTCCTTTCACAATTGTACAGCACACGCCAAAGCGGAAAAATGCAACTTGAATTGCAATTTTTCAATTTACCAACTGTATAGTCTCTGTGATGATTCGCTGAAGCTGAAATGATTATTATGGAAATGAGCGTAAAATGCGTGCTTTGTTTCAATTTTATAATTGTTGGCATTTTCATATAGTGTTTGCTTGCGATTGAACTTCAAATATCATTAGAGAGTCCATCATTATGTTGGAATACAGTGAATTTTTGCACATACACACACACACACACACTTTTTTCGATATTCACAATTTTGAATCGCGACTTCAATGTGAATAGGTGATTTCATATTCGATTCAGTTGGGAACGATATATGACCCGCGTGTAAAATACACATTAAAAAACACGACTAGAACGAAACGAAAAAATCGTGTGTTTTTTTTTTGTTCGCTTGTTATTACGTACGTGAGTTCCGTACCACAAAAACGAATCACATATGCACTCAAATGTTTGACTTCGTTTTTTACATGAAAACTAGAGTATCGATGTGAAATAAAGCAATTAAATTCACGGCGAGAGGAAAGAAGAGATGTTACATGAATGATATGGAGAGAGAAAAACAGCGGGAGCGAGGGAGAGCGAAATTCAAAAATAATATTAGATTCAAAATATCAAGCAAACGATTAAAAAGTTACAGAAACACTGTGCATTTATTCACATTTTTATAAGGTATTGAAATTTGGCAAATAAATTTATATTTTTTAAAAATAATATTATGATCGATTTAATATTCTTACTTCCCTCTTGGTTCAAATAAAAAAAAACATTGCACAATAGCTTCTGTTCTCTTCAAAAAAAATATATTGAATGTGTTCGTTATTATTCAAATATTTTCTTCTTTTTTCTCTTCGATGTTTTTTATCGCCTATTTTACTTTCAACAAAATCGATTCACCGTACTCAATTATTATGGTCTTGAAAAACTATCACATGAAAAATGTGAATGTCACCAAAAAAAAATGTGTACCCAATTTTAATTTAACATTAAAAATAAATGAACCAAAAGCAATAATGAGAGAGGGATGTTGTGAATTAATTCAAGATAACTGTTCCCAATTCAAAAATTAAATAATGAGTCAATCGAATATTTTTTAATCGTCGAAACCACGATTTCTACCTGCGTTGAAAAACAAAGCGTGAATTTGAATTTCGAACTTGATAAAATGTGCAATCGAATATCAGTTGTTATTGTGTATGTAATAAAATGTGAATCCTCCGATGCCAATTCCGATTCAAAAGCCTGAATCGGTTTTGTGTGTGTGGTACTTTTGGTTTTTTCTTTGTGATTTTAAATTTTTGCGTGGCAAACAAGTTGACAAGCACACTGTAATACAGTGTGTAAAACGGCACTCCAACAAACAAAAACGAATCGAAATATTCAATGCGAGAGAAACTGGAAAGAGCACACTGAGAACGATTTATATACCGAATAGAATGTATAAGCGCCACGAACAACAGAGAAAACGGCCCAAACGCAACGAATATCAATTCCTAACTGAGGAAACGTTGGAGTATTATTGAATAGTTGAACCTATGAATGTTATCACATTCGGTGTGTGTTCGAAGTCCGTTGCTGCTGAATCAACCGCGTTTGTTGTGCACACGAGCCAGTGCGATATGTATGAGTCGTATTTTTTAGCTTGTGACACGTTTAATAGTGCGCGAGAATGTTGCGCTGAACAGACAGAACATGCAACACAAAGCACATAATACATTTTGTACCGTTGTTTGATTGTTTTGCTTATGAATTGTGTTGAATTTACGACGAGAGAGCGTACACAGTGTCGCTCATACAGTGTTGCTGCTGATTCATATTTCGTTCGTTTCGATACGATGTATACGATGTGTACAGTGTAAGCATTTCAGGCATTAAAAAAAAGAAGAATACAGCTTTGTATCGCCTGCTGATACATTTTCATCGTTTGAAGTGAGAGTGAGTGTGTCATTCACGCGTTTTAAGCTATAAAATCATGTTGCATGTTGAAGGCGTCATGTGTTATATCTAAATCGTATCAAAAGATGCATTGAATATGCTATAGCTAAACCATTATCCTCAAGTCAAAACACGCCCGAAATGCCTTGGCTATGATCACAACATAAACCAATTACACATGTTACTTGATCTTCATTCGTTTGGACCGTGTTGTTTGTTATTGTCTATCATTCGATTCAGTGTTCATCTATCACAGCTCTATATACGTTTGGCTTTATCACAAGGGGCTCGACGACGTTCTCGTTCTTGCACTTGTCGTCGATCTTGTTAAGGCTTGTACGAATCACAGGCACACTCACTGATGTTGAATGTTAAATGTTATTGGTCGAGTTAAAGCAATATGATTTGTAACATTCGCACAATACGCTTGAAGAGGTCTCCAGCTGAGGTGAAAACTCATAATATCGGCAACAAACACCGAATTGAAAATTCGTTGGTTTTCGTGTTGGCAGTGCATGGAATGCATACCATAATGATGCATCAATTATAAGAACTATGGAATGTAATAGAGACCACATATGCCATGCAATATTTTGGTTATGCATCGCTCATTTTGACGCAATAAGCTTTTGCGCTTCACATTTGCTCTTATCGTCATCATCTTTACACTGTGCACACATAATGAATAGCAAACTGGGTGCTTTTGACTGTTCAAATGGAAATGAGCGTATATGAATTCAAAGGAATATGTTACATTATTGCTGTGGTTCTTGGGCATTTGCCGAACTGTTTGAGAAATGCATAGTTTTTTTTTTGTGGGGGGGAGAAGAAGCGGCGGGTGGCAGTATGCCTGAAGTTCGGAACGAAGCTGTTTATTTCATTCTCTTTTTCGAAGACTACGCATAAGACGATCAATGTTCATTTATTCACTTTGCCTTCAAAGCGCCAACCTTAGCCCATGATTTATGAACCCAAAATCTAAATGATAAATGTAGACAATCTGTTTCTCCGATTTTGTGTGCGTTTTTTCTTCTTGTTGTTTCGTTCTATATTTGAAATCATATGCACAGCCGATATAAAATGATACGGTTGAATTGCTCATTTCTAATCGGCATAAGTTTGGATTGATCACAAGTTTTCCCATATTTTGGCTGCCGGTGAATTGACTATGGTTAGTTTGGGCATTTTGAATAGATTTTAACTCTACTTCGGTTCGTTTGTGCGCAACACACGGTCGTTCGTCAACAATGCCACAAAAAAAAGTTATGCTGGCTATGCAGACACTGACATTCCATAATACAAATGATTGCATATCTTTTTACATTGCAAAAAAAGCCTTATTAACTATGGAAAAATTTGCATATTTATTCATTTTTTTTCTCTTCATAATTCGTTCAGCTTTTGTGCAATTTCCTTTCTTTGGCAGTTCCTATTGATGAAATAGGACCAACTGTAGCAAATGAGTGATTTAAATCGAAGTATTTTACGAAGAAGAAAAAAATCATAATTTGTACTTTGAGCTTAAGAAATGCCTTTCTATTTCTCACGTGAACAATTCGCATTCTGTGGTTGTTTTTGTTCGTTTTGCGTTATTTATTGCCTCAATTATATGTTTACATAATTTACAAGTAACAAGAGAACCGAACAGGCAAGAGGAAAAAAAATATGTGTTGCTTGCTCCACATGGTCGGAATCAAACGTTATCATTACAAAAGAAAATCGCTTAGACCCGATCCGAAATGCAGACACCAAAGTTACTTTCACACAAACGGCTGATCCAATATACGGAAAAATGTTAGAAGAAATTGAGAAAAAACCATATTTCCTGTATAGTTCGAAATACATACATGTAATCGATGGTTTTATGTCGGATTCGCATTGCTTCTGACTTTCGGATGTTTTTTTTCTAGTTTAGTTTTATTGGGCGTTGATTGTGTTCAAATATAAAACGAAAACTATATATTCTTCTAAAACATGGAATCGGCAAGAAAATCGTACGTGTTCTACGGTTCAGGCACACAACGGTCGTTTGATGATGAACAAAAAAGACAGTCAATTGAACGATTATTTCGATTTTTTTCCTTACCTCATACTACACCCCCCGCATCTCGTCCTCTCTTTTGCCCATCCTCTTCTCTCGATCGCCCGCTTTTTCTATCACCAGTTCTATGTGGCAATGTTTATTTACCCCGTGTACTAAAAAATATAAGAATACGATGTTGCATGTGTTTCTTATATTTTTTTCTTTTCATCTTGCGTTCATTTACTGGGTCCAACAATGGTTGTAATGATATCAGAAACGGATAGTCGAATATAGATGAAATTTGGGCGAAGATTGCATTTTCGACTTTAAATGAACTGCTCTCGGTATAGATACGCTGATATCAATGGCAATGGTTAATCTGCACTACAAACACAAACACATTTTATGCATAGTCGATATATATATGTATAGATCGCACACATATATGTATATAGCCGATTTATACTCATTTTGACCAGGATTCAAAAAAATGTATAACCCAACATCATTCACACCCACACTGTCACGTAGCAAAGTTCAGTTCGGTAGTGAAGTGAAATGCTTTTTGGGTTCATTACCAAATAAAGCAAATACAAATGAATACAATCTTGTGCATGTGCGGGTGCGGATGTGTTCGTTTCTATATATTAACTGAGAGCGAATGCGCTCAATACCATCGTCATCCGAATGTGTTTCTTTTTTCGCTTTGCAACAAAAATCATTTTCCTCACCAAATTTATTAAACTCGGTTGTGTACCATATACAAACGGATACTTTGTTCGAATTTTATTGTCCGATGGAGAGAGCACACACGAAAAAAATGCACACACTCACACACAAACGAGAAGAGCAAAAAAAGGCGAAAGAGAAAAAAATATATATGAAACGATTTATAGTGAAAGGAAACAGCTTAAATGCCGTATGCAATTTTCTTCTATCCTTTTTTGGATATTTCTTTTCCTTTGCTTAGTTAAGTTGTTGTAGCATCTTTGCTCAAGAAAATCCTTTTCTCATTTCAACAACTAATTGAAAAGTGACTTTCAAATAACGCAATGTGGCAAAAGCTTTTAGTTACTACTCGAAACTGCAGCCGTGAACCACTTCAATTCGAATGAAATGCATGAATTTTATTTAAAGCAACCGAAACCGGTCGAAACAAAAATCGAATTAAAAACGATTTTAGTTACTACCAAACATTCCAGACATTTCAATTTAATCGATTTTAATTGGTATTCGGCACAGACGTTACAAAGCAACCGCGAGAATTTTTGACAGAAGCAATTATAAATGTTAAAATGTGGCCGATTCTGAACCTGAAGCTGGATGGCATTTTGCTCTCTCTTTATCTCATTCTCTGCGTGTGAGGATATGTGTGGCAAATTTTCGACCCAAGAGCTCAATGTATTCGAATTCACGCTTAAAATGGATTACCGCTTAGAAAATTGCACCCAAAGTGATGGGTAATGAAACGGAAAGCATTCGAAGTGAAGGTTTTATGTACAAAAGCGACATTCAACGTTTGACATTTGGTTAAAAAAAAGCCGAAAAATAGGAAAATACAAAGTGTATTCAATGGTTTTAAGTGTACATATATTTATATATGTAAAAGTGCACAGGTATCTCGATACTAGGTAATCATGAAAGAAGGGAAAATTGTCTAATTAAAACAATTAAAATAATTGCTTTTTGTCACCGAAAACAGTTCGCCCAGTATTTTGATGACTAAATTTAAAACTAATTTATTTCTCGAAATCAAGTTGTAGGCGTAATAATAACCGTTTAACATTCGCTGTACTATTTTCGGTATAAAATCAACAAGAATGTGAACCGTATGAAAATGGCGATGTCGTGTGGGTATCCACACTTTTAATTTATTACGGTGTTTTATTCCATTTATTAATTTATTTTATTCTTTTTTTTCGTTCACTCATTTGACGCAATAAACACGCGCATACATTGTATTCAAATTGGTTGGATAAAGAGATGGAGAGAGAGAGAGAGAGAGAGAGAGAGAGAGAGAGAGAGAGAGAGAGAGAGAGAGAGCGGGTGAGATTTTGTAAATTAAAGAAAGCGTATATACTGAGTGAAACAAAATCTCTAATGACAAAGTACCCAATGGTCGTATAAAAAGTCTAACACTTTTATTACGTTTGTTTTCTACATTTGAGAATACGTTGTGTGTTGACTGGCGACTCATTGACCAGAGAGACTGAAAAAATAAAGATCAAAAACCATTTGGATTGGCAGAGCGCATTGGGAAAAAAGGTAAATTTTCAGCTCTTTCACATTTGTCATTCAATTTTAAGATGTTTGCATCGGGACGAGAAACATAGAGAGAGAGAGAGAGAGAAATACAATTCTTTGGGACATACCAAAGGTGAAATAATGCGTCCGAAAAACGAGCAACATAAAAAGAGCAAACATGAAACTGTCAAGTGAAATTGCTTCAGTGCTCAAAGCAAACTCGAAAATTTACCAACAATCGTAATTACTGTTATTGTCGTTGTTGTCG